TGAGGAGGAGGAGAAGAAGTAGGAGAAGGTGAAGAGGAGTAGGAGCCAGCGTAGCATGAGTAATTGTAGGCACGCGCTAGGAGGAGGAGGAGGAGGAGGAGGAGGAGGAGGAGGAGGAGGAGGAGGAGGAGGAGGAGGAAGTAAGGGGAAGGCCGTAGGGGAGGGGAGACCGAGAGATGAAGGTTGCAACCAGTTACCTTGCAATTTTCCTTCTGCACGCGGTCCACCTGCGCAAGAGCTCAGAAGTTTGACATGCTGTGGGTCGCTGGCACCAGCGAGTTCTCGATCCTCGGGATGGCGGAGATTTGGGCGAGGGCCAGAGCGAGAGGGAAGTCCTTACATGGTCATCGGCACTTGAAGGAGAGCTAGGAGGAGGAGAGAAGGGAAAGTAGGGCAAGAGCAGAGAAGAACGATTGCGAAGAGATGAGGAGAGGGAGGAGGAGAGGGAGGAGGAGAGGGAGAGGAAGCGAGCGAGAGGGAGGGGAGAGAGAGAGAGGAAGCGAGCGAGAGGGAGGGGAGAGAGAGAGGAAGCGAGCGAGAGGGAGGAGGAGAGGGAGAGGAAGCGAGCGAGAGGGAGGGGAGATAGGCAGGGAAGCTGGAAGGTTATGGAGGAGGAGGGAGCGAGTAGAGGAGGAGCCTCTCACTTTCCCTCCTTGCATGTTGAGGATGAGGTTGTAGAGTTGCCTGCCCGGTGAGCTCAGAGACCCCGAAGGCCTCGGGCATCGAGCCTCACCGCATCTCATCCTCCGACTTCATGTCAAAGGTCAGCTTTATCTGCCCCGATTCCTGGCCGGCCTCCTCCGTCTCCCCACTCGGGGCTCCTCCTTCCTCCTTCTCCTCTCTCCCATCTTGTGACTGTCATCTCTCGTCACCGCCCTTCCCCTCCTGCCGCGCTTGCCTCACCTTCGTCTCCAGCAGCTTCTTCCTCGCCTCCACCTCTCGCTTCCTCTCCGCGACTGCGAGGTCAACCTTGCCCGACTTTATCATCCTCCTCTACTCCTCCCTTGTCCCCTCACCACTGCACTAGTCACCACAAGTCCAGCTGCACTTGCCAGGGCGATGTCCGTCAGGTCAGCTGTACACATCGTCATCCTCCCCATCCTGGTACCCCGTTGCTCCCTCGCTTCCTGTTCCACTTTCCTTCTCCGGCCTGCTGTGCACCCAATCCCTCTCTTGTCTTGCCCCCTGCCCCCTGCCCTCTGCCCCCTGCCCCCTGCTCCTGCTTCTCTTTCACTCACCAGAGGCTGCTACGGCACCCACTGCCAGCAGGCCAGGAGCTATCTTCTGCGCCTACCTCGGCTCGTCATCGGACTTGAAGCATCAGCATGAAACCCCCTCACCTGCTCTGCTGCACTTTTCCCTCCCTCCACGATCGCGCTCCCAGCAACAACAGAGCCTAGAGGAACACCTCACCCTTGGTCCTCCTTCCTCGTCCTCCCACCCACTCCTCCCCCTCCCACCTACTCCTCCCCCTCCCACCTACTCCTCCTCCTCTCCCTTCTCCTGTACCTTGCCACGTCTTCTTTCCAACGAACTTGACGACGCTGACCGCCAGGTCCCAGTTCTCCTGTGTGCCCTTCAGCGCTTGCTTGCTCCCGCTCGCCTCCCACTTTTGCCCTCCTCCTCGCCTCTTCGATCCTCCTCTGCTGCTCCTCCTTCCTTCGTCGCTCCTCCTCCTCCTTTGCCCTTTGTAGCATCAGCGTCTGGGTTCGGCCTGTGTGCTGGGTCAGCCATGTGACCGCTCGTCCTCTGCTCTACTTTCTTCCTCCCGCAGCTTCTTCGCTATCTCCACATCCACATCGACATTCACACCGAAGCTCCTCAAGGCTGCACCAACTCAGGAGGTTGTTCCTTATCAACATCAAGTTACCTTTCACCGCTGCCATGGCAAACTTGATGTAATACTCCCTTCCCCTCGTTCTCATCAGCCTGGTTGAGCTCGACACTGCAGCCATGAGCCTTCCTGCTGCTCCCGGCGAGACTTTCTCTGGCAGTGCGGTCAAGTAGCACCGGACGACTAGCCAGGCAGCGAGAATGGAGGAGGAGAAGTAGCCGAGTAGAGCACGGAGGAGCTTGAGTAAGTCGTTCTTGTAGGAGATTCCAACTGTCTCTCCCTCTCTCGCGTCCACCCGATCGAAGACAGAGCTCATGAAGGGATTGTGGTCCTCGTCCTCTATCAAGGAATCGCGTCAACCACGCTCAAGACTCGAGTGGCTCGGAAGAAAAGACCACAAAAAAACGATAGAGCAGCGTCAACCGCAGCAAGCAACACAAACAGACACCAACACTATGGCAAGGGGAAGGGCGCGAGAAAGATCTCACCTCTCTGGACCGTTTTAGATCTCATCAAATCTGATTGTCTCCGAGAAAGTCCCATGGGCTCCAGTCTCGCTCCCCCCTGCTTCATTTCTCCAACTCTCAGCATCCTGTTCATCCCCCCTGCGGCAAACGCGAGAGATCCTCCTGCCAAGCATCCCCTGTGCATGCCCAGCCACCTCCCCGCAGCTCCTCCTCCCCCTCCTCCTCCCCCTCCTGTGACTGCGAAGGCGAGCATTTCGCGTTTTTGGTACCTGGGGAGAAACTGATCGCACCCCCAGATATAGTCGAATTTGAGGCTTTAATGTACCCGTACTTGTGCTGACCCACCCACCCCCTTGCTGGAGTTTTTTAACGGCATCTCAAGAAATCACTGAAGGGAAACAAGCGACAGAGCGACAGGAGGGAGAGGGAGGAGGGAGAGGGAGGAGGTGGGGGAGGAGGGAGAGGGAGGAGGGAGAGGGAGGAGGGGGAGGGGGCGGGGATGAGGAGGTTGAGATAGGAAGGGAGGGAAGGGATGAAGGTTGAGAAGAACAGCGAGGGGTTGAGACTCGCTGAAAGGGAGCTAGGAGGTGGGGGGGAGGTCCTTTAGCTCACTTGATTAAAATGTATTTGAGCCCTATCGTCAGTTTATGTACAGTCTGCAGCTATATTTACATCCAAGGACAGAGACCGTCCTCGTCCCCTTCGATGTGTGTCCGTCTCAAGCTTCTTCAGCCTCCAGGCTGTCGAAGACCTCGAACGAGCACTTGACCACCTGCCCGCCACACTTTCAACCCGCCATGCACGAGGAATGCGAGAGAGTCACCTCGGCGAACTCGTCGGACAGGAAGGAAGAATCGAAACCTTCAACCCCATGTCAGCAAACGCATCGGTCGCAGTTCTCACGCTCACTCTCCGATCCCAGCATCTCGACCATCCTCTCCTGCAGTGCTGGTTCAGCTCCAAACGACCCATCCAGCGGTTGACTCTGCTGACCTCGAAGGTTTCGATGACTTTGAATGCCTTGTTCAGCTCCGTCTTGACTTGAGCCTTGTTCGCGATCTCTCCGTCGTCGGAACCATCTTCCTCTTGCTTCAGGACCTGCACACTGGTCACCCTGGCAGTCTGATCCGCATTCCCACCCACTCGATACCTTGCATGCATGGAGGATGCTGGTCAGTGACAGCCCCAGCAGGAGAGAGATGAAGAGGCTGTAGCAGATCCGCGAAGAGACTGAAGCCCCTCGGGCAACTAGATTCGTCAACAAGCTCTGGTTTGAATTCTGATTGCATTTGCATCAGAAGGCTCGAGACGGCCATTCAAAGGACCAACCTTGGCGTTCTTCAAGAAAAGCTGCATGAAGTCCAGGACAAAGTACAACACATCTTCAAGGCCGTTCAATGCCCCTGGCACGTCAATATCCTCCTTGCTGATCGTGTTGATAGCCTTCAAGAGGTCTTGCGAACTTTGGATCGTGGGAGTCTGCCGTTTGAACATCCTCCTGTAGCATGAAACCGACAGATTTTCCAGTTGAGCTTGCAGGAAATCCGATATGAGATCTTCATCTTCCGAATCGTCACCATCCAGTTCCGCTGATAGGTCCCACAGCTGAAACGTCAATTATCAGAGAAATCGCAAGAGACGCAAGGCAGGAAGACCGCAATGATCCTGAGAAGGTCGTCCCTCCAGGAAGGGCCGCTGACTCTACCGCTACAAACACTCTTCAACTCCATGCGCGCACATTTGACCACCTTTGACGCTGGTGAGTCAGGGAGAACAAACATCATGCCATGTCGTCTGATACCTTCTGCGAGCACGCATCTGAGAGCTCAAGCCCGACCTCTCCCTCCGAGTAGTCATCTGAGCCTGCAAATCTTTCACTCGGAGCCCAGGAGGGTGGCTCGCTCTTCAAACCAGCGTGCGCTATCATCTCGTGGACAATCCTCCCCGCCGCCAAGACATCGGGTGGATTTCCTGCCAGCAGCAGATGCACTTTCTGCATGCAGGTCTGTCGAGAAACGGGTTAAACGACAGACCCACGGACCGGTCATGCATGCTCACTCCAAGAAAGTCTCCTCCTCCTTCGTCTTCTTCAGGCGGTTCCAGGCTCCTCTCTTGCGGTCTCCTCCGGTACTTCTGAGGAGTAGTAGGAACAAAGACTAGGTCGTCCGATGAGATAACGCTCTTGCAGCTGTTCACCACTTCCGAGAACGACTTCCCTGCGGCTCTGGGTTCCAACTGGCGTCACTCGATGACACTGCTGGACACGCTCCCACAGTCACCTCAGCAGTCTGTTCCCCGACGGGCATACAGCAAGCGAGAGCTGAAGCCTCATGGAGTCCAGCTGTTGCTGTGCTTGAAGTTGAGAGAGTTTCACATGGGATATGTCAAAAAACCTTCTCCATTGCGCACTGGGACTGTTGTGAGGGCAAGAGCGCAAGTCTTACCTCCCTCTTCAGCTTCTCGGCGTCATCGTACCTTGGCAACCTTAGGACCCTTCAAGACACAGAGGGAGAATACCTTTCCTCTTCCATGGCTATGGACAGCATCTCTAACAGCTTGTGGAGACGACTGCACGCCGTTCACAAGCTAGTCTTATCTTAGGGTAGCTACCTGGTGGGTTCTTCTCCGAATCGAAGCGATCGTGCGCTTGTTATCTGTGCAACACCTATTCCGAATGTCAAATGCGCTTTCCAGAGATACCCCATTGCCCTTCCATGAATTTCTGTATCCTACTTTTTCACCCCTCTCCCCTCATCTCATCTCCTCTCATTCACACACTCGTCTCCATCAGGTATCTTTCTCCCATCCTCCCCTCCCCTCCCCTCCCCTCCCCTCTCCCCTCCCCTCCCCTCCTCTCCCCTCCTCTCCCCTCCTCTCCTCTCCTCTCCTCTCCTCTCCTCTCATTCACAGACTGATCTTGGTATCCTCCCCCTCCCCTCCCCCTCCCCTCCCCTCCTCACCGCTCTGCTGCCATAGTCGGTATGCCGCTTGCATCACCACCACAAGTTTCAAACTTTCAAAACATGACCAGAAACTTTGAGTGAAAGTTCAGAACATTCGAAGGCCCGGAACTGCAGCCAGCCCCCGGGCCCGGATCTAGTTGCCTTCGAACTTGGACCGCATCCCCTCCCTGAGCCCTCTCGAGTCGGCGAGATACAACTCCTTCCCACGACCTCCCTTACGAACCTCCCCACCCCTCCTGAGGAATCTGTACCCACCCCATGGGCCAATGGACCCTAAAATCGTCTCGAAACCCTCATTATAAACCCTACCCCCTTGTCAATGGGACCCATAACAATCCTATTAATCACTACCCGTGGGTACCCCACATGCTCGGCCCCTGCAAATAAAAGTGCTTTTGTTTTAACTGCAGTACGTGTCTGTAGCGATGGGGTTTGGGCCAGAATTATGGACAGTGAAGTGAAGTGGCGGAATGATTAGGGTTAATAATTTCTGCCCTCTCTTCTACATAATTGCATCTCCTGAGGCTGATTTGTGTCGAGTACGTGATGAATTTTAAAATTCAGGAACTGGCCCACGGGTTCTTTTCTAAACAGCCAAGGGGGTCTAATTGATATTAAGGTATTTTTATACCCCAAAAACACAACGGGGGTACAGACCTTATAAAACACTTTTTCATTTTTAACAAGTATTAATTGACAAGTTCGTATGAGCGTCCTCCGTACTGTGAAAAACTCTTTTAAAGATGAGTCCGGAAATTGAGGGGGTGGGTGGTTTTTGGATTCGAGATGGGGTACTTCTGATAGCCAAATTAGGGGTAGGCTGATCATCGTAATCCACCCTCTCGGGCCCCACGGGGTGTAGTAGGATAGACCGGCATACGTGGACCCCCCAATGAGGGACAAACTTTTATTAGCACAGTAGGGTAGTTGAAGGAGTACCCGTCAAATAACGGGGTAGGGGTCACACATGGAGGGGGTGAAAGGAACAGGATCTGTATTCAGCTGACCCTATGGGGGGTGGGGGTGGGTACACGGTGTGTGAGTATAGGGGGGTAGCTTCCTTCATTGCGTGTCCTCCTCGACGATGGCGGCAATCTGCGGAAAGGTAAGGAGAATGGCTAATGAGGGGAAGATGAAGAGGAAGATGAGAGAGATGGGAAGAGAGGGGCTGATAGTCAATGCGTTCTTGTTTGAGTTGTTTTACAACAACTCCTTCTCTGGTGCTCTTGCCATCAATTTCTGATTTCTGCGCGCCGCTGAAACATTTTATTCTTTGTTGGATCCTGTGTTGCTTTTCGCTTTGTTTTGAAAGCAAGTCTGAGGCCTTGAAATCCAACCTACACCATGTTGTGGAGGGAACCTTTATCTGCCATGATGTTGTTGTGTGCATATCTTTGGCTCTGTGACTTCGACGGTGATGTCGGGCATGTTTCAGGTCAGTTCCGCTCTGGCCGTGGCGGTCTTGCTGCTCGCATCATCTCATTTGGCTGGGGCTCAAAATGTTGTTTCGCCGAAGCAAACTACACCGCCTTCTGGAGGGAGTTCTGAGGTTTCGACCGTGCTCAGTACTGGAGCCAAATATAATAGCTCCTCTGCAGGCTCAAGCCAACTTGCTTATCTTCTCCTGCGGCATTGTTGGAATTGCTTTTGCGTCGTTCCTCTACTACTGTGTCTCATTGGTGATGTTTTATTTCATATTCTTGCCTCTGGTCTGACAAGTTGGAAAGATCTCCTTGCGTTCCCCCAGCGATGATATGGAGCCGCTCGTCAGCTCTGCGAGAGCAGGAGAATCTGATGAGGTATGTACAGACTCCTATCACATCACGCACGTGTTGGTGGGAAAGTCGGTGGATCTCATCTGAAGTTGCCTTTCAACAGGAGCTCATCACAATTTATGAGACCATCCGAGCAGGAGCAAGAGCCTTCTTGTGGGCCGAATATCAGGTGAGCACGGCGAGCTGTCATCTTTGCTTGTTTTTGTTTGGTACAATGTGGGAGGCTGATTTTAGATGTAGATCTGCTTCATCTTCGTGGCTGGTTTCTCCGTTTTGATCTTGCTCATGGTTTCCCACACCAACACCAACGGCTGGGATTTTACCGTCGGTGATGCCAAGCTTGCACAAGGATTATGATGGGTGGGTCTTTAACATTGTGTATAGGTGGACTTACTGCGCTCTCGTTCATCGTTGGAGCATTGACTTCTATTCTTGCGGGATTCATCGGAATGATGGTTGCTGTGTATTCGAATGCACGTACCACCGGTGCAGAACATGATTTGAAACTTGTTATTTGCTAACCATGTGAGCCAGTGTCCGCAAAGAAGGAAGGAGAGTATGGCTGGAGCGCTGCATTCAATACTGCATTCCGCGCTGGTGGAGTGATGGGCTACTCGCTCTGCTCCTTGTCGCTCATGATCCTCTACACCTTGTGTCTTGTTTACCGTGGAATCTTCACCGGTGCAGATGGGAAAACAGATTACAAGACCGTGTTCGAGTGCATTGCCGGTTATGGTCTTGGTGGCTCTGCCATTGCCATGTTCGGCCGTGTTGGAGGAGGAATTTTTACCAAGGCTGCTGATGTTGGTGCGGATCTTTCGGGCAAGGTTATTGGCGTGGGTGATGGCAAGAAGCTCGATGAGGATTCTCCTTACAATCCAGCATGCATTGCCGACAACGTTGGAGACAACGTGGGAGACGTTGCTGGAATGGGATCTGATTTGTTCGGTTCTTTTGGAGAGGCAAGCTGCGCTGCCATGCTCGTGGGCTCTGCGTCTGTTTCAATCGAGAATGAGGGATGGGCTGCCCTTGTGTTCCCTCTCTTCATCAGCGCCATCGGAATTGTTGCTTGCATGGTTGTTTCTTTCATTGCCACTGATATCCAACCGGTCCGCTGTGAAGCAGACATTGAGAAGGCTCTCAAGATTCAGCTCCTCGTGACTTCGATCGCCATGACAGCTCTCCTCTATCCAGTCGCTGCTTGGGCTCTTCCCGAATCCATCTTACTGTCGGTCAATGGCAAGGATGCCCTTGTTACCCCAACTATCTGCTACTTCTGCACTATTTCTGGCCTTTGGGGTGGATGCCTCATTGGATTCATCACCGAGTATTTCACAAGCCACAGCTACACCCCTGTACGTGACGTCGCTCGTTCTACTGAAACCGGTGCGGCCACCAACATCATTTACGGATTGGCTCTTGGTTACAAATCAGCTATTCTGCCAGTGATCATCTTGTCTGCTATCATCTTCCTCTCCCTCAAGAGTGCTGGAATGTATGGAGTTTCCCTTGCTGCACTCGGAATGCTCTCCACTCTGGCTACCTGCCTCACCATTGATGTGTATGGACCTATCTCCGATAACGCTGGTGGAATTGCTGAGATGGTTGAGATGCCGTCGTCTGTGCGTGACAAGACCGATGCTCTTGATGCCGCTGGAAACACCACTGCTGCGATCGGAAAGGGCTTTGCCATTGGATCTGCTGCCCTCGTTTCCTTGGCCTTGTTTGGTGCCTTCGTTACCCGCGTCGCGTCGAATGGGAATAGCCCACTCTCAACAGGTGCAGTCAACCTCTTGTCCCCTGTGGTTTTCGCGTTTTTGGTGTTTGGTGCCATGGTGCCATACTGGTTCTCCGCCATGACCATGCGATCTGTCGGTGAGGCAGCCAACGCTATGGTCAAGGAGGTTGGTAGGCAATGGGCTGAAATCCCGGGCTTGAGCGACAGTGCTGGCCTTGATTTCCATGAGCGTCAGGAATGGAGAAGCCAGGGCAGAACCCTCGCGAAACCAGATTACCAGGCGTGCATTGCCATCGCCACGAAGGCTTCCCTCAAGGAGATGGTCCCGCCTGGTCTTCTTGTGATCCTTAGCCCAATCTTGGTCGGCACCTTCTTCGGAGTGGAAGCTGTTGCTGGGCTCTTGACTGGCGCCACTGCGTCATCTGTGCAGCTCGCCATCTCCATGTCCAACACTGGAGGTGCTTGGGACAATGCCAAGAAGTACACCGAGAAAGGTGAACTCAACGGCTGGTTCCCTTACCGCGATGGACGTCCCATTGCTCAGAACTGGTATGAGCAGGCAGCGAAGAACAACGGAGATTCTTGCCTTGTGCAGAGAGTCCGTATGGGAGGCGCTGACAAGGAGGTGCCAATCAGGCAGTGGCTGTCGGACTTGCAGAGGACGGATCCCGCCAAGTACAACAAAATCATGGCAGGAGACGAGCCAGTGGAGACGGCCGATGGGCGCAACGTCATCTATGCTGGGAAGAAGTCTTCAGCTCACGCTGCCGCTGTCGTCGGAGACACTGTGAGGAGCAGCGGGAGTGTGATGTTGCCCTCAGTGACACATGTTACAGGTTGGAGATCCTCTCAAGGACACCTCGGGGCCTGCGCTCAACATCGTCATGAAGCTCATGGCTATCATCTCAGTCGTTTTCGCTGACTTTTTCATGTCTATCAACCATGGAGGCGGGCTCTTCAACACCGGATCAGGCCCCAACTAGACTGAGATGCGCATGTCGAGTGAATGGCATTGTGCTCGTTTCAATCTCTCTTGTTGCCTTCTGGCTTCTTTTCCTGCATCCTGTCCATGTAGACGTTGACTGTCTCCACCACAGCAGCCAAAATCTGAAAAACGTGTAAGAACCTCCTTGAGGGCTGAAGTCATGATCTCACCCCGATAGCGAAAACTCCTGCATCTCCGAAGTTGGCTTTCTGTACCCTGAGGTTTCAGTTAGAGAGGAAGTAAGGAGGGGGAAGGAGCAAAGCAAAGAGCCGGGGGGGGAGGACGGGAGAGGCGTCAGGACATGAACGATCTGGGAGCGGTAGGGATCAGAGCATGAGGAGGGTCTCGCTTGCCGTGGATTCCGATGATCTAGCCCTACAAGGTCGATGAAGAAGGGGAAGAGAACGACGAAGACTCGCTGAAGTGACACCCAGAGGCCCAGGACGACGTGCCGAAAGATCCAGCGCCTGCAGGGAAGTGAGCGGGGAAGGAGGAGGACGTTCGGACCTGTGTGATGCCCGACGGTGCAACAGGATGGAGAGGAGGGCGAGTAGACCTGGTGGGTTGAGGGCGGGACAGTGAGGATGGAGGTAGTGGTACCTGTAACGAGGAAGAGAACTGCCGCTGTGAGAGAAGCCTCGGATCAGAGCAGGAGTGGAGGAAGGTGAGTAGACCTGAGGTCAGGGATGGCTCGTGGGCAGGAAACATGTGAGAGGACTGGTCGGAGAAGACAGTGAGGACGAAGGGAGAAGAGAGATGTTGGGGACCGCATCGTGCGTCGAGATGTTCCGGAAATCATGCCTGGCAAGGAGAGTGAGGAGAGAGACGAGAGTGGAGGTCGGAGAAGCCACAGACTTATAGTAGATCAACCCGCGGGCCTCAATAGCGTAGTATCCGACCTGATTCAAAGGGGCGATCAGGGCATGGCGAATCTTGCTGGGTGGCGGACCCACCATCATCGCCAGCGAGATGGTCAAGAAGATGGCTCCGACGACTTGATGCTGAGAGGAGGGGGGGGGATGAGGGGGCGCAAAATCGGAACTCATCCTGACCAGCAGAGGATGCTGAGTGCGAACGCCCTTGTTGAGTTGGACGATGATGGCGATGCTCCAGAACACCTGGAGATAGGAGCGAGAGAGAGGAGGAGGGGGGGGAGGGAGATAGAGGTGGGATTCAGCAGGAGGAAGGCAAGGCAAGGTTTGGAAGTTAATATCGTGAAGTAGAGGAAGTCTCCAGAGGAGAAGGAACAGCGCAGAGAGGAGCGGGAGAGAAGCGAGCTAGGCAAGGGAGGAGACTCACCCCAGGGAACACGTGAGTGAAGCAGATGAGATGCTGGTCTTCGTACTTGGTCAAGAGACTGAGAGGAACCTGAGGTGGAGGGAGTCAGAACTTGCCGCCTAGTTGATCTGAGGATGAACTTGAGTTATCTTCATGCTCTGCAGGAAGTCTCTTCGTCCGCTGCTCCTACATAACTCAACAGTCACGTCCCTTGACCTTCAGAAGGCCAGAAGTTGTAGGAGTGAGACGGAAGCAAGGAGTAGGTCAGATCGGCGTAGTCGTGAAAGGGATCAGAGGAAAGAAGGATTGGAGTGACGAAGGAACAGAAAGGGGAGGGAACACATGGGAAGGATGGAGGGAAAGGGAGAGGGAGAGAGACGTGCAAGGGGACGAGAGATAGAGAGGCTGAAGGAGGAAGGAGAGGAGGGGGGGGGGCGCAGAGAGGGATGCAGATGTGTTTGGAGAGGGGGGGGGTAATGAACGACAAGAGGTCAAGCATCCAACCACAGGAGGTGACAGGCTCCAGGCATGACGAGGATCCAGGAGATCATGAGGAGAGCGAGAAGGGAGCATAGCGCATAGAAACCCCTACGAGAGAAACAGGTCAGAGCAACTCTCTGCACTCATGGTGTTAGCTTCACGTCACTTTATTGACCTGGACAAGTTCATCATAGTTCGCTGAGCTAGCCCCATCCTCCTCCCGACCATTTGTCCTGTGATGGCTCCAACCATCTAGCACTCCGTGGGCACAGGAAGAAGCACATAGGAAGAGGAGAGGAAGGAGAAGGAGAAGATCCTACCAGGGAGATGAAGAATGGCTGGAGAAGGCTGTTGAGGAGAAAGTTCATTGTGCTTTCTTGCTCTTCGATCCACTGACAAGCGGTTTGAGGAGGAGGTAGGAGGTTAGCCCTGCAGGACCCAGCAGCAAGGTGAGAGGAAAGATCCACACGATGAAGAGATGAGGAATGCCTGCAAGCGAATCAACAAAGAAGGAAAAGGAGGAAAGGAAAGAAGGGGGGGGGGGAGGAGAGGATGGAGAGGATGGATTAAGATAGCAGGCGAAGGAGCAGGCGAAGGAGAAGGAGTAGGAGCAGGAGCAGGCTCTGAGCGCGCCTTACCTGCTGATTGCGAGTCCAGAAGGATGAACCTGGCAGCTAGCAGGTCAAAACTCACATAATGCACCCAACCGGCCAGGACAGCCCGCTTGCTGGAGAAGAGATTGACGATGCCTTGGAGAGAGGTGAAGCTCGAGCCGGGGGGGAGCGTGCCGAAGATGGAGGAAGGGAGGAGGAGGGTGTACAGGAGCGCGTAGAAAGCCGAGACCAGAAGGACCACGCTGGGGGTGTGCTTCCAACGGGGGAAGGCAATCAGCAGAAGCCAGCCGATGAGGCAGCCGTTCACCAACTGGAACACGTCCTCTTCAACGACGTTGAGGAAAGGGAGGGTCATGGCAACCTGCTAAGGCTACAGGTGGTTAGTGACTCAAGCGTTCCCTCCTGCACCCACCCCCAGATCCTGCCCACGTTCTTAGCCTTGGCCCACCCCTGATCCCCTTCCTCTCCTTGCTGTCTCTTTGCCTGATCTCTTCACTGCTTCAGCTCTCCTCGTACTCCTCGCCTGCCCTCCCCCCGTGCCTGTCCTGCTCCCTCCCCCCCCGCATTGTTGCTCGCTCCCCTCCGCTCTACCCGACAGGGCCCGGCCGGGAGCTCCGGGGCTCCAGTCCGAAATGAAAGTTTTAGTTAACCGTGAGAAATCTTGACGTTTCGCGTCGAGAGGCAGCGAAGGCTCAGTGGGGGTGGGGTTCTGAAAGAGGGATAGAGGGGGGGTCCGTGGAAGCTGGACTTGTGCAATTTTGATTCAGCGACTTTGTCCTACTTTTCTTCTGTTAAATTTCAAACATTTATTTAACGTTTTGGTAATTTTCCTTTCATTTCAAATATTTGGAAGTACATTCCTTGGTATGAGATTCATCGTTTTCCAAATAAATTCTTACAAATTCAAATATTGCAAAACAGTTTGAAATAATGTTTGACTCCTTGGGAAATTTGTAACTGAGTTAACCTAAATCAAATTATCAAAGTTCTGGCTATTTATCTGTTTAGATTCAAATATTAGAGACAAAATAATGAATATCTGATATCTCGATATGAATATTATTTATCAAATATATTGGTACTGAAAACTGGTAGTAATTGTGGGGGATGGGTGGTTCCATGACTTCTGGTGTGAAGTGGTTTTGTTCAGGGGGTGGGGTTCAGTACCCTCAAAAAGTCATAGAGGCTGTCAAGTAGGGGTTAAATAAAAATGCAAAGGAGGGGTACTTCATGCATTTCATCATTTTGTGGATCCGTGGTAGGTAGTTTCTAACGGGGTGGGGGTGAACAACAAAGAGTTTTCGGGGTGTGGTGGTAACTCGGGGGTTGAAAGTGGGGTAGTATTTGCTAGAAGTGTGGGGTAAGGGTAGTCATTTTGAGTCCGAGATCTGCGGGGTCCTCCTGTTCTGAACATGAAGGAATGGCGGTTTTCGCAGGATCAGGAGATGGGAAGGGAGAAATAGGATTGATAAGAGAGTGCGAACACGTAACTAGCTACGAATATGAAGAAGAGGCCGCATGAGGGATGCAGGAAGCAGGGGAGACATCAATCTGAAGGGACGAAGGAATCCTGACTCAAACCATTGCGAGCGCAATCTCGATCAAGAGCGAGTTCGACATGATGGATGTGTGTGTTTTGATGTCGAAATGAATTCCTTGGATTGACATCATCTTGAATAATGATCTGATCAAAGAGCTTATCTGTACTTTAGAATCCTCACGAAGTATTGTCCTGTTAGTCCGCCCCCATCCCAACAACCCCCAGCATGAAAGATATAGACGGTCAAAGGAGGTGTTTGCTGAAATAGTATTCGCGAGTCAACGTATTCCTGCACGATTCTAAATCTATGTTATGCAGGAGGAGCTATGTATTTCCTCATCGCGATTCAAATTGATTGAAGATTGGAGCGAATAAGACCAATCTCAAGATGGTCTGGAAGGTGTTTAATGGCAAGAAGAAGTACAATTACAACATCCCCTCAGCCTTCAACGATGCGTTTGAGGAGCCCCAAAGTCTGGCAGGAGTGGGTATCGTCTTCTTCAAAGCCCCGGACAACTCGTTGTTTGTCAAGGCCCTCGTGGAGGGCTCGAGTGCAGTCAACAGTGGCATACAGCCGGGAGACTGTCTGATGGAGGTTGATGGGAAGAGTGTATACTGCAAGGGGATAGAATCAGCTACAAAGGCAATCCTTGGAGAAGTAGGAAGCATGGTCAAACTCAAGCTTGTGAGGATTGAGAATGGCAGGTGAAAAACGTGATGGTGGGCTACTGTTGCTGTTCCTTGACAGTTCATGACAGGAGAATTCCAATCATCGCAAATCTCATCAGGGAGCTGAAAGCCACTGCTGATCCAGAATTCAAAATTCAAAGTCAAGAACAGTACAAGAGCGGAGTCACCACTTCGCAGGTCAGCTTGTTCAACTCTGAAAGCTAGCGTAAAAAACATCTAGGTTTTCCTGGAGTGTTTGCAAGAGCTCGAAGCTTCTCAAGTGAATAAAGTTGTCGACGAAATCAAGGTGTGTTGATGTCTCTGGTATTTATTGGATGCTGAACTTTTTCTTGAATCTAGGACACTGGCGCAGGTATGGTGTTTGACATGCATGCTTGACAAGTAAGAAGTCACAGGAGTTTGCTGACTTTGTTTTGCCAGCTTTCAGAGAGGCACAGAAGCATGTCAATGATGCGACACACAATGAGGAGGAGCAATACGCCGACTTGTTTGAAAAAGATTCTGATGAGGAAATAACGCAAGAGCCCAAAGTTTCCTCGGAGAGGATTGTAAAGTACCAGGGCAAGTGGTACACGGAAAGCAAGATCATGGAGTTGGAAAGGAAGACCAAGAAGGTCTGGACATGCAGTAATTTTGTGTTTGATCTGAAGAGAAGGACAGGTGAAGAAAGTTCTGGAAGAAGTGGAGAAGAATGGAGGAGTTCAAGATTCTGTGAAGGCGTCTTTTATGGACTCGATGCAAGTGCCGGTGTACAGCAATATACAGGTAAAAGATTCCTACATCCCCAAGGCACATAGCTGAACTCCATGGTATCAGGTCAGGAAGACGAAATCGCTCGTTATGGGACCAGCCGCATCTGATTCACAAGAGGTCTGTTCTTGTGTTGCCTTCTGTTTCGGGCGAGATAAAGTAATGTTTCTGCTTTCCTCAGGAGGCGATATCAGCCTTGTCCAAGGAAGAGGAGAAGTTGAACAATGACCCTCAGGTGATGGATAAAGCGATCATCTCTAACGTCGGCACTGACGTGATCTCGACAGGCACTCAAAGCAGCTATCTTTGTGGTCGGAGGAGGAATGGTGGAGAAGATGCTTACGTCGTCGAAGGTGTCTAAGAGCGCAGATGGGAGGCAGCATCTGAGTTTGTCATTGCGAGCAGATTGGAAAGAACAAGAAAACTGTCAACTTGAAGATAACAACTGGCGGCGTGTTGACATGGGGAAAGGATAAAGAAGGTCACGTAATGTGGATCCAGCCGTGGAAGAAGCAGGTTTGCTTGCCTGATGCGATTTATCGTCCTCAGCGCTGACTCTTTCTACAGTACAGCCCGAGCATGAACAAGGAAGAGTACTTGTCACTGAACAGGAAGTTCATTGTGGCGATCGAAGGCGGGCAAGTGATGGCCCACTCGGCTCAAGGAGGTACCGTGAGGGCAGAGGTGAAGAGAGTCATGGAGTTCTTGGCTCCCTCCTCTGAAGAACGGGACCTGTGGGTGACTGGGGTGAACATGGTGCTTGCCATGTCCAAGAGAGAGGCGGAAAAGAGGCAATCGTGCCAGCGGGAGAAAGAGCTCTCCGGTTCAGCCTCCCAGCAGAACAGATTGTTCATATCGCACCCCCTGCACGACGGGGCCTTCCGGAAGTCAACTTCGCCTGACCCGATTCCCAATGATGAGGTGGATGGTGCCTCGAAGCATGAAAGAGCGTTGGCTCAGGTACCGGCAGCCAACGTCCCTCCTCCTCCGAAGCAGCGGATGAGGCCGACCTCTGTCAAGAGGCTCATCAGCATCTTCAAGCCCAAGGCAAACGTCGAGAGCGAGGCCAACAAGAACAGCTGCAGCGACTCCGTCGAGTCAGACGGTGAAGAGCCGCCCCAGGAGCTGCCGAGAGACACGACGACAAGGCCGAGTGCCAAAGTCTGGGTCGGCAAGGGGAACAACGACATGGATCTCTTTCGTATCTTTGACAGCGACGATGAAGAGGAGGAGGAGGAGGAGGAGGAGGAGGAGGAGGTAGTTGCTCGTGCCTCCAATCCCCCGGTCGGAGAGGAGTCAACTGCACCAGCAGGCCCGAACAGTGGCAGTGGTTCCGAGAGCAATTCGGCTCAAACGTCGTTTTACAGCTCGAGCTCCCCGGTGCTGAAGGCAAGAGCGGCAGAAGACAGCTCTTCTTTCCTCATGTCGTCCAAGACTGAGTTCGCCTCTGAGGCGGAGAGCCTGCTGAGCTCCTACGCTGCCTCCTCCCACCGTGACGCTCTCCGCATCGATGAGGTGGCTGTCGAACACGAGGAGGAGCCGAGGGCACCTCCCAGCGACCCCCCCGGTGAAATCTTCCCCAAGGTACTGCCGCTTGTGCTGGGACTTGTCTCGAACGGTCGTCGCCTGACAGTCTTGCAGATCAGCCCCAGCCTTTCGCCCTCTGACGTGGCGGCGGCCACTCCCTGTCATTTACAGCACCTTCATCTCTCGCCTGATGAATCAGAATCAAAAGACTCGTCGCCCTCCAGTCAAGCCCCGAACCCTGCAGGCTCGCACGCTGCCTATCCCATCCTAGCAGACTTGTCTAAGAACCACAGCTCTGGGTCTGCTGAGCTGGAAAGTTTGGAGCTCTGCGAGGAAGGCGCCTCGAGCACTCCTGCGATCGAGGAGCCGTACGGAGCCGTCAAGGGAGGGTTGTCGGACACGAGCGCTATACCAGCTCAAGGGCCCAGCGAGGATCTACTGCGCTCCAAGATGACAAGCGTGACTCACCCGGTGCAGAACTTCTCCGGAGGAGAGCCCCGGCTGTCGTTCAGCAAGGAGGAGGAGCCGGCGGCTCGGCCTGTTTCAGTTGCTTCTCTGTCGCGGGTGCCTTGTGCGCAAGGGAGCTCCACCAAGACGTCTCTGAGCTCCAGCTCTCCGTCCAGGAGCTTTGCCGAGGTCGTGAAGTCGGACGAGCCGGCAGAGAAGGTCAAAGTGGAGCCCAAGCGCCTGAGCGTGAAGTCGTCGGGTGGTGGAGGAGGAGGAGGTCAGTGCGGTTGACATGGCTGCTGTGTCGACTGACTTGCTCCCTAGGAAATGCGCTGGCGGCGATGATGGCGGCCAGAAGGAAAATGGTGGACGAGAACGACGACGAGGGATATTATTTCTGATTTTATTGTTTCTTCTTCGATGTTTTATTATGAGACATGAGGGTCACACGGGGAGCAGTAGGAGGCGATCGGTTCGACCGTGTTTGTACAGTGAAGTGAAAGTGAAAACAGCTTGACAACTATGAAGGCAACCAGCTCGCTCGTCCTGTCGCTCACTATCAGCTTTTGTCGTTGAATATCCTCCGCCTCCTCCGCCTCCCTCACCCTTGTGCGAGAACTCCGGCGTGATGTTGGAAAAATCTCCGTAGCTCATGCCGCCCTTGGGCGTGAAATCTGAGAAAGGCTACGGCAGGAGAGTGAGAGACGCGGTCGTCTTCGCTCTCCACGCACCTTCCCAGCAAATTGCTGCATTCTCGAGCAGCCGACGCCCGGAGGCTGCGACTGAAAGTTAGTGGTGGGGACGGGTAGACAGGATCATACCGCGCAGTTGTAGGTCAACCCTGGTCGAGCCTTCCATGCCTCCTCCTCACTGGACAGCATGTGAGAGAACGTTCGCAATGGATGAGGAACTTGCCTGCTGTGGCCAGGACTGAAGACATGGTACATGCCATCGTCATCTGAGCAAGCTAGCTCAGTCTACAAGTTTAGAACACCATCACATCTACTTCCTAATCTCAGCTCCATCCTTCTTTCTCTCCAACCTGTTTGCTCGCCTGCCTCACCAATCCCGACCATCGCAAGCTCCTCCTTTCTGCAAGTTTGCAACCCAGTCGCATACTATCTTTCCTTGCCTTCCCCCGAACCATCCGTTGCTTCCTATGTTCCCCTCCCTCCTCCCTCCCTCCTCCCTCCCTCCCTTCCTCCCTCCCTCCCTCCCCCCCTCACCTGCCATGTCTCTTGGTGCTGTTGACCTCATCCCCTCACTGACCTTGAAGATTTTTCGGCTTTTTCAGGATTCGTTTCCCTAGTTGCCTACGACAGGTCGAGAGCTGAAGGGAAGGCAGGGAGAGAGGAGGAGAGGGGAGACGGTAATGGTGTGAGCTGAGATGAGAGACAGAGAGAGGAGACAGAGATGCGCGAGGAAGGGCTCGATGCCGGAGGAGGAGCTCGTCGCAGGAAAGGGCCGGATGAAGGTCCTTCGGGTCGTGACCTTACTGTTCTTCGCTCTCACGTCGCTCCTGGTGTTCGTGAAGCTCTTCATCTACTCTCAGCACGAGGGCATGTTCGATCCACGAGGAGGCGAGGCCGAGGGGAGAAGACTTCTGCCCGCACCAGCCAGAGAGCTGGGCTCCTTCTTCTCGCTCCAGGGCTCTAGCAACACTATCTGCCCTTCAATCCGTTCCTCGGACTGGGTCGAGTTTGACTTCCCTCCCCACCCCCGGAAACCAGCGGGCAACGAGACGAGCATATGGGTGGGGGTGATGGTCAACGACGAGGTGGAGATGCTGAGGCTGCTGCTGGAGATGTACAGCAAGACCGTTACGGGGGTGGTGGTCGTACAGAGCCGGCACACGCTGTCGAACCGCAGGAAGAACCTGTCCATCACCAGGGACGACATTAGGTTTGCGCCCTTCAGAGACTTCTTCTACCTCGTCTCCATCGACGGGAGGGCCGAGGGGTTCCAGTACTGGGAGAACGAGGCGCTACAACGATGCGCCATCGGAAACGTGGGATTCAAGAAGCTACCGATCCAGGACAGCGACGCGGTCCTAGTCACAGATGTAGACGAGATCGTGAAGCCTGAGGTCCTGGCCAAGATGAGCAGCAGCATCCGGCACAACCAGGCCGTCACTTTCTGCCTCACCTGGCACTTCTCGCACTTCGGGAGAGTTCTGGAGTCAGGATGCAAAACGGTCAGGGGCCTGGTTTCAGGGAGCTTCCTGAAGAACATGCTGCAGTACAACACCAACGCAGTCAGGAACGTGGCGGCGAATCCCAACAACAAGCATGCGGAGGAGATCAGTGTCGGGAGTGGGCCGGGCAGGACGTGCGAGCGAGCCGGCAACATCGTTGGGTGGCACTGCTCCTGGTGCTTCGGGTCGGCGGAGGAGTATGGGAACAAGATGAAGTCGTTTGCTCACTCGGAGATGTCTCCTTCTGCCAGCAACCCCGACCTGATCCGCGACATGATGTGCCAGGGTAAGTGGGTCACGGGAGGGGTCCACGGGATGGAGCTGGACTGCAGCATCCCGCCTATTCAGCTCCCCGACTACTTCCATGCATGGAAAAAGAACTGCAGCAAAGGGTCGCCATGAGGCGGCGGCAGGTGCAGCAGGGCGGAGGGGAGGAGGAGCGCTTCATCCGGGGTAGCAGCTTCTTGCAAGTTAACGAGCCCTCAGCGAGGGTCTCAGTGCCTCAGTAACAGTTTGTCGGTAAACTGCTCGAACATCGACCTGCGCCATCGTCACCCGATCAGAGCCCGCCTCAGTCCTGCCCTCCTTGCCTCGGGGGCTTCATCCTCGCCCTGCGCAAAGTGCACTTGAACCGCACGACCCCCAGCTGCAGCCACCAGTTCGGTTGAGCCCAGAGCCTTCGAGTCAGGTGATGGTCAGTCCACACCGACGTGGGGCCATGGACAGGACAAGCACCTGTGCGGGCCAACCAGCCTTGCCACTGTCACCTCGACGCTCGTCCCCTCCTGCCCCGAGAGCTTCTCCGCCACCTCCGAGGTGTGCCGTTGGGCGCAAGACCACCCGTCTACGGAGATGATGTAGTCACCCACACGAAGCTTCCCTTCCTGCTCCCATCGCCCGTCACATGCGAACACACCGATGCATGCTCTGCCACACACACACACACACACACACACACCTGCCTCGCAGCTTCAGCTGTCCCCCCGCTTGAGATCTCAGAGATCTGAACCCCGAACTTCCCTTCGGAGATCTCCACTCCCTGATGTGCTTGCTTCAACCCGATTCCGATCCCAACTCTGCATCCCCTCCTTCAGCACAGCACAGGGTCACGTCGGGGCAATCCTACCTCCCGTTCGTCTCCGTGGCGTCGACCCGCACTCCCTCGTCGGCACTCCAACTGCACATGTTCTGGTCACTCCCGATGATCCTCTCGTTAGGCGGCAGCGGCCCCGACGGCCAGCAGCGCCACTCCGAGTCAGACTTCGTCGCATCCTTCTCGAAAAGCACCTGCAACAAGAAGGACCTTCATCGCCCCAGCTGTGGCTCCCTCTCCTTCCCCCACCTGCGGCTCGAAGATGCTCTTGCCCCCGATGTAGGGAGCTGACACATAGTTCTTGCCTCCGCCGTACTCGCTCTCATGCGGATAACGTTGGCTCGAGGCCACACCCTGCCCCTGCACGTCTTCTTCCTCTCTTCTCACGCCTTCCTCTGAGAATTCGGGCACGCTGGACAGCAGTTGGACGCTCTCGATGGAGCAGAGGGCCTGAACCCATCGCCCTGCATCGTGATCGTCCTCACACTCAAACTCCAATCCCCTCATGTTCTTGTCTTGAGCAAGGAAGCCTGAGCGTATCGAGTAGTCATTCTCTCCCAGCCGAATGTTTCTTGACGGCTGATAACTTATCTTGAGTCCCTTGAGACTGAACAACCTCGTCCCTATCAAACTCGTCAAGGTCCAACAGGCCAATGGCAACCCTGAAGACGATGATCGTCACCTTGATCTTGGACGCTCTCATCCTCGAAATACAAAAATGACTTGTCGCGAAGAACAAAGAAACGCTTCTCCCCATGAGTCTGGGTAAGGTCGTAGAAAGTCAGCCATCCTTTCTTCAGCACCCTCCCTTCCCGCAGCAGAAGTTGATCCACCAACGCCTGGACATACATCAAACGGGTTTGACTGCACATGGAGCTTGCCTCTGTATCTACAGAAGGCAGGAAACTCGTCATCTTGCTGAACCAGCTCGAGTTCTCCTCCTCCTGTACCCCATCGGCATTTGGACCAGAAATCGTAGATGATCCTTTTCGGAAAGATAGCAAGGAAAATCAGCCAACTCAATGGTGTCTCATCACTATTTGCATGAAGCTTCTACACAAACAAGACTTTCTGTCATGTCATTGTCCACTCTCGTTCTACCTTCCCCCTCCCTCCTACTTTTTTTCCCTCCACCATTCTTGGTCTTCTGTCCCCCCCATCCCTCCTGCCTTGAGCTCATCATGGTTGCTCGTGTTCTCTTGACTTCTACACATCCTCCCATCATCCCTTCCTCTCCTCCTCCTCTCCTCCTCTCCTCCTCTCCTCCTCTCCTCCTCCTCTACCCTCCTCCATCGCTGCGCCTGAAGCGTCTCTGCCCTCACCTGCCATGCCTGTTCAATGGAGCATCACCAGAGGAATTGTTTACTCATCTGCAATCTCTGTACGACGCGCTGTACTGCATATAGAGTTGACTTAACTTGAACTACTGAACAATGGGGCTATCGTCATCTGCTGTGACTCGATCACAAGAGCGCAGTTGTCCTTGCTGCTAGCACCGGATGCCAGCTCCGAGCCCATCACCTGAACACTCGTCCAACATCTCCATCGAGGGGCTTGCCAAATCTCCTCATCCACCACGATGGCACGGCTGACAGGCCGCCAAGTTGGGCATGGGCCCAGCCTTAGTAGTAGGGCTGAAAGCCTCCTCAACATCGTCGTCGCAGAACTTCAACAAACTCAGACCAGATCCTTGACTATCCTCTTGAAATTCATCTCTACAAAGGACTTGACGGTCATCCCAACCCTGTGGAGCTTCCCGACATCCTCCTTGGAAGCCACCAGCCTCGTCCTTTCCGCCACGCAGCAGAAGCCAGAGATGTGGTTATTGCTGCAAGCCTTGCTAAGCATCTCGAGCTTCTTCAGCAGCTTCCTCACGTTGCTGCCCCTCTCGATCTTCTCCACGAACATGTTGCTGTCGTTGTGCCTGAGGATCCTGCTGAAGCCTTCAAGGTGATACTCCCTTACATCCACCGCGTGCAAGATTTCATAACCGAACAAACCGACCAGTTGAGCCATTCTCCGGAGCCAGGCACGGAGGCATTCTTGCTCGCATCCTCCCTCTTCCTCTTTCTGGAGAAGAAGTCATTCGGTTTGTCACCGAAGCCCCTCCCCGCCTCGAAGCGGAATTTCGATATCTGGTGTATAGGAGCGCGGGACCGGAGTGACATAGAACAAGGCGAATTAATTTGAAAGACCTACTGTCTCTTAACTCCTCAGCCACCAAAAACAGCTCAAAGGGAAGCAAAACACCGCTCAACAAAAGCGCTTGAGATGGCCGACGTCGTTGATATGCATCAACATCTCGAGCTTTGGGATCTTCTCCGGCACAACGACCGTTGCCACCGCAGGAAGCTTGCGCTTCTGTGGAAGCTGCGAGACAGAGGTGGAAGAGGAACTCTTCGAAGCCTCCAATACGCCGGTAGAGAGGTCAAGAATCATTGGACCAGTTCCCATCACCATCTTGCACCTGGAAATCGGGCTTGGGGCTCAGCTTGCCATCCCTGGCGAACTTCTGTCACTGGTGACCTCCTGCAGGCTGCTGCTGCTTAACTTAGCCCAGCAGATCGCTGGGTGTAAGGGGTACGGTAGTGATAGTGACAATTTATTCCTTTAAGACCGGGCCATCAAAGAACCTCAGTGACAATACTTAATCATGGGCGCCCCCACTCAGGCTCCACAGCCGTCACGGCGACCGTCACCTTGTGTCCCTTACAAACGAGAGGTCATCGCATACCCTAGCAACGACAGCAGCAGAGGCATGTACAGCGACGAAAGGGTCCTGGGCGCTGCTGAATTGCAGTTGGTGTCACTACATGCTGCTTTGGATTTTTCAGAAGCGATGATGGAGTCAAGCTTGGCTGAGTCGGCGGTGCAGAGGTTTGAAACGTATGACCTCGTCGCGCTGCAGCACTCCACCACTGTGGTGGTGGTCGTTGCGCACTGGGAGTCTGAAGTACAGCCTGTGGTTATTGATGAATACGCAGAGCACAGGTCCGAGCACTTGGTGGCCTTGGCGGGCTATACAAACATCACCGTCAATGATGCCATCAATCGATTCATACAAAGATGCATTGCAGCACTCACCACACCGTAGCCAGCACAAATACCAGAGATTAAGATGGCACAAGCAGCATCGGTTGAAGGTATGACGGCCGCGCCAACAAGAGACAGAGCCAATCCCGCGTCTGCTTCACTTTGCGAGGTACAGCTGCCGTACTGGACGGTTCTCGTTCCGCAGCTTCCTGCACAAACGATCGCAAAGCCTCATATCAGACGCTGGCCGGGTTAAACGAGCTCAATAGGACCCGAGGCAGGATAGATCCAAACAATGGTAAGAAAGACAACCGGAGAGCAGGACGGAGCAAGGTATACGAATCAAAGTGAGAAAGAAAGGCTCGCCTCACCTACGGTGACATCGCTCTTCTTGGCAATGTTGCAAGTGACGGCTGATGCTGTCGCGATCGCCGTCAGGACGAGGAAAGCTCGCATCGTCACTGGCATGCTTGGTCGTTCCTCGGCCCCTCCCGGCGCATATTTATTATTACTCCCCTGATACGTTGTAGATAGGGGACCAAAGACTGCTCTATAGGCCACTAGGACCGATGAAGTACCCTGGCATCCCTGCGAATCCTTCTACTAGGCTGGTTGCAACCGGTACTCAGGTCACCCACCCACCCTAGGAAAAAGAACTGGTCATTGCCAAGTACGGTCTCTACTATAAATGTAAATGGTACTAAATGGTACTAGCCACCTCCGTGTCATCCCGTAGTAACGCCACTCACAATAGGCCCAAGGCATTATACCTACAGAGGCCAACAGTCGTGTATAATCATGAATATAAGGTTACTGTCAACTTCAAAGGAACAAGTAGACTGTATCTATCCGCATCTACCCACCCCCCTTGCAGCCTTTACTAAACTTGGCAAGTTCAGCACGTCCGACGGGTACTGCCGCATAGCAAACTCTGACAGCTGGACAATTATCATTCTGGCAGAGTACCGGTGTCATTCTAATCGCCAATGAATGAAGATTAGTCAAGCTAGTACTGACATGGTACTATCACTAAAGAGCCACATCTGTCATTGGTACTGGCATATGAAAGCCACTGATGCACTAATAATAATAAAACTTAAAGTGTGATGGTCGTAAATCTGAAAATCGGGCGGCTCGGACCTACTCTCATGTCACAGTATCACTCTCTTTACTCAAAGTTAAGTTAAAAATCAGTACGAGGATCGGACAATCAGGAGAGTCACGGCGAGGAGGCTTGACCGTACCCTGTGTCAGGGTCAAGCCTCCTCCGAGTCGTCTCTCCTGATTGTCCTCGTACTGATTTTTAACTTAACTTTGAGTAAAGAAAGTACCCTGACACTCTCAGTGACTGAGACTCCGGGCCTGATGAGTCAGGCTCCGAGGCTCCGAGTCGCCGCCGGATTCAAAACTCCGACTCCGAAAGCCCGTGACCCAGTCACGAAGCCAACATGGTTGTAGCGCCGTCTTATGGCCCTCCCATCTTGTGCATAGGAGCTGGGTTGGTTTGCATTGGTCAGAATTCTGCCACTACGAAGCAGCAGAGCTAAGGCTGTCTCTTCCCTCCTCGTCTTCGTCCTCCTCCTCTCACCACCCGAATGTTTCAAGTTTACGCGACCCAGACATCAGCAGCGAGGGCTCAACGCACCTCCACTGGATCACACAAAGATAAAAACACATGTTCTAATACTCATGTATGTTGCAGACTGTAAACAATTTCATGAAATATGTGAGTTTCTGTTCAATTTTCACTGTTCGGCACAACGCCAACATGTTGTTGTTGGAGATAAATTCAGCGATCTGTTGCGTACAAAATCACATAGACAAAGGAAAAAGTATATTGAGTTGTGTGTAATAATATCCATCTTGATTCAACATCTTAATTGGAAAAATTTTCTAATACAAATGTACAGAATATGATATGAGCGAAATTGGGTTTTTATCTTTCAGACTTCTTAAACACCCAACTGTCGCAGTGGAGGAGGTTTGTTACTTGATTGCAGGCTTCGAACATGAGTATTGCATCCATCAACGGTCTTCAAGTGTCTCCCACGCTACTTTTTTCTCCCTCGAGTTAAAGACCTCAACATTTCTGGAATGCTCGCTCCGCGCCCTGATTTCCGTGGCTCCCTCCGTGGCAAAACCGTAGACGGAAACAAGAATCTACACAACCTCTTACCTCCTTGCCTGCTGCAAGATTGCAATGGGTTCTCCAGATTTGCCTGCATGTCTCTGAGTAATTTTCATGCTTCTCAGTCGAGATAGGCCTCTTCAAAACTTGAAATTGTTCCAGTGCTCATCAACATTTGATATGAGGTACTCCAATCATTTTCTTTACCTTCTCTTTCATACCTACACTAAACCTTGTAACTCTTGACTTCCATCGTGCACTTTGATGATATTCATTACAATCAAGTCCATTTTCTTTCTCAGAGCAGCTTCTTTGCACTTAGTTCACCTCGTAAACTGTGAAATTGAAGTTGATGCAGAAAACCACTCCGCATGGAATATGACCATCTCCCATTGTTTTCCGCACATGTTAAAGCTGTAAGCAATTGACCTCAGTCTTTAAGCATTTCATGCGTCTCGTCATCACATATGGATGACGAGATCTTGTGCTGTGGGATCGTCAAATCATCTGTTCCGGCATCAATCTTGCACTCAGATGTTTCTCTCGTGCTGGTGCATGGCGAGTCATACCATGTCTGTTCACTTTACAAATGAGTCTTTAGGCCTTTCTCCAACACTCAGCAGTATCATTTTCCCCTGCACGATGATTCTCAAACCTTCTAGATGATGTTTTACCCTGTTTTGAACGAAAAAAAACATCAGAAAAATATTTCTGAACGACACAATCGACGAACCATTTTTTCACAGTAACCTCCAACGAAATGCTAGAAGAAGTGACTGATTAACACGAATAACATGCGATTACGAAGACACTTGGCGTGGAAACAATTTCAGGCGCTACTTGGGTGAAACAGACATGAACCAGCCAGTGCTAACATCCGTCTGATGAGTAGTAGCGCAACGAAGTAGCTCTCATCAGGTCCCATCAAGTACTCAAAACTCTACTGAAAGCGCTTGTTCTTACCTCATATGCCCCAAGGCCCACCACGGCAAGTCTTGCTGCACAGATCTGACCTCCAACACTATGCATAGCTTGCCTAAACTAGTCCCCACCAAGACCCCTGTGTTTGCGCAATCTTTCCGCATGATTCCGGTTGTTTGAGAATGTTTGATCGCACATCCCTGTCCTTCTGCACTATCCTGCTCTTCCTGCTCCCTCCTGCTCCTCCCTCCCCTCTTCCCCCAGCCCTCTGCTCCTCCCTCCCTCCCCAGCACCTCTTTCTTTAGCTCCCTCTACTGTTGTCTGTATGGATGAGACGGTGGAGAAAGATGAGATAGTGGAAGGGAAAGGGAAAGGCCAGAGAAATGGGAGGAAAGAGGAGCCAAAGGAGAAGGAGGAGGCAGCTGAGACAGAGAAGCCTGGGGAAAGCGAGAACACTGGGGGCGAAAGAGAGGAGGGAGGATTGAGGAGCTCCGAGGTAGGAGAGAGGGAGGGAGAAAAGAGAAAGAGAAGGTGAAAAGCATCATCCATTGTCCTTTCATCAATACATGGAAAACTATAGCAGTGCGGCGCACGCAGCTCACTTTGCTTCCTAACCAATCCCCACTCCTGCCATTGCTCTGAGCGTATGCACTCGGACCCGCCTCACGGTAAAGACATAAGAATTTTAGAAGGCAGAGATTGATCATTACCGTGATCCCCTCAGAGTTTACTCAAAGTTGAGTTAAAAATCAGTACGAGGACAATCAGTCTACTAGTGAGTACTTGGATGTTTTTTTTTATCTGACTAGGAGGCACCAGCAGACTACTTCCGTGGGAGGGTGGGGTCATGCTTCAGAGTCCTACAGGGGGTGGGTACTCTAGTATGAGCCCCCTACTACCGGGTGCTAAGTGTGAACCAGTAGTTTCGAAGTTAACACTGAAGTCCCCTAGGACGCTACGGCTGTGTACGATAGTCTTACTATTACCCGGTTACCTAGGGTCAGACTGATTAAAACGGGTCGCCGGGAGGGGCCAAAAGGAACGACCGGCATGGCCATGCGAGCTTTCCTCGTCCTGACGGCGATCGCGACAGCATCAGCCGTCACTTGCAACATTGCCAAGCAGGGGGATCTCTCCGTAGGTGAGGCGAGCCTTTCTTCTCTCCGATGTCTCCCTATTGTTCATCTTTAAACGCATCTTCGGGCAGGGAACTGCGGAACGAAAACCATCCAGTACGGCAGCTGTACCTCGCAAAGTGAAGCGGACACCGCATTGGTTCTGTTGCTTTTGAGTGCAGCCTTCATACCTTCAACCGATGCTGCTTGTGCCGCCTTCATCACTGGTATTTGCTCTAGCTACGGCGTGGTGAGTGCTGCAATACATCTTTGTATGAATCGATCAATGGCATCATTGACGGTGATGTTTGTATAGCCCGCCAAGGCCACCAAGTGCTCGGACCTGTGCTCTGGATATGCATTTTCCCAAGGCTGCACTTCAGACTCCCAGTGCGCAACGACGTCCACCACAGTGTTGTCGTGCTGCAGCTCGACGAGGACAGCCATCTCAAACCTCTGCACCGCCGACTCAGCCAAGCTTGACTCCATCATCGCTACTGAAAAATCCAGTGGAGCATGTAGTGACACCAACTGCTATTCAGCAGCGCCCAGGACCATTTCGTCGCTGTACATGCCTCTGCTGCTGTCGTTGCTGGGGTATGCGATGACCTCTCGTTTGTAAGGGATCAGTGCCGGGCTCAGTCACAAGGTGACGGTCGTCGTGATGGCAGTGGAGCCTCAGTGGGGGCGGTGGAGGCTGAAGAAGTAGAGAGAAGGTGAAACCTGAGTAGAGGCACGTAGTTGAAGGAATAAACCGTCACTCAAAGTCTGATCTACCCACCTGGATGCACCTTTGACGCTACCGGGGAGAAGTGTTAGCCGCCGTCTCGCCTTTGACCGTACGTTGTGGATCCAGTTGGTTGAATGCAAAGTACAAGTGAAGCCTTCGCACACGGAACTCGTTGCTAGCCCAGCCAGATGGGTACAGTTAAGGTTGATGGGTTGCAGACGTGTACAGCGAATGCTGAAAGCACCTCGCTGGATCGCACATTCTTAAACTCCCACTTGTGCTATTTTGATGCACATCCCGTACTGATCATGGACACTGTGTCAGGGATATTTTGAGTGGTACTGGATATCCCTTGCAATGCTTCTTCAATGTCCTGATCCTTGTTCCCCTGATTGTCGTGCATGCCGCTGCTCGTGTTGTTGGAGTAGAGGTTTTTGCTGCTGCTTCCTTTCTCCTGGTCTCTTGCTGAGACGGATATGTTTGTTTATCCTCTCCGACGTAGCTTGCTCCTGTTTGTCCCCTCCTCTTCAGTAAACCGAAGAAGATCATTCTCTATCTTCTGCTTCTCCTCGCCCCCTCCACATGGCATGGAAGGCAACAATTGACATGTATACATGGTGAGCGATGGTCCTCATAAGAATCTACTGATGCACACAACACTCATACACAGCAGCTTTCATCGACTCGACGGGCTCCACATCTGCAACAGAGGGAACCATTACCAACAACCAGTGAGTGTCAGTTCGATTGTACAGAGACAACTTGAGCTCTATGTTACTCTCAGTTGTATCCTATTGCTCTGATAGCCTTGAAGCTTTACGGGTTCAAGGCTGCAGACGTCTACACCGACTGCTCAAGGCCATGGCGCCGTGGTGTGAGGGATGGATGGTGCGATGGCGCGATGGTGTGTGGATGGGATCGGATGGGATTTGGTGTGTGAGTCCTTTGGATTGTTGTCTTTATCATACACTATCTACTTCTTCGACTTCCCAGCGGCCGGCTCCTTGGGGGGAAGTGCAAACTTGGGCGGTGCTGCTTTCTTGGGCGGCTGGTACTGCAGCTCTGTTTTTGTGACCTTGCCCGCGTCTCTGTCCTTCTTCGATTCGTTCCTTTCGTTGAGGGTATGTTGTTATCCCTCGGACTCCGGGCAACCCACCCATGCTCCCATCCACTCCACCGATTGTCCTTGTCGGCAGTGATGAGTGGGTGTCTGCAAGCCTGGTGGCCATGGATGGCTTGATGGAAGCGATCTCGACGAGAGTCTTGAGGTCGTCGATGGTCTCGATGTCGATCTTTGGTGCGGGCTGTATGATGAAGTTGATCGTGCCTCAAGTGCCCACGCAGCAGCTGCATCTCGGCGGAGAAGATCCTCTGGTTCATGCCCGCCTGGGATGTTAAACAATTGAAACACAGAGTTGATCCAATTGCCCTGCATCTGCGTGATGTCCTCCTCAGGCTTCAGGGCTGCCAGCATCTGGCTGTTGTAGTTCTTTGGAAGGATATGTAGGAGTGGTGGGTGGTTCCCGGAGTTGTCAAGGAATTCGTTCTCTAATGATAGGAGTTACTTAAGCTATGGTTAACTGAATCTATCTGTGCTGACGAGTTTTTCATCTCGCTGTGTTCCTCCTCGTTGACCCCCGCGATGAACCTCTCGTGCTCTTCCCTTACGAGGGGGAGGCTCAGCTGGAGGCTCAGCTGGCTGGCGAGAAAGTTTTCCCTTGGCTGATCCATCGGGATCTTCTTGTCCTTCCTCGAGCAACAACGTGTGCACAGGTGTTGCACGCGTCCGCAAAGGATCTGCGGGTCTTTGCCTCCCTCACAAGTTGCGGTTCTCATGGATCAGGCCCGCCATCGGGACCTAACTTTCCTTGACATTCCCCGAGAGGATCTGTATCCAATACCTGAGAACCTTGGACTCCTCGTCGTACTCAAGAGTGAATTTCGGTTCAAAGTCCATCTTCTTGGAGGCCTCATCCATGGATGAGCCTATGAAAAAGCCGCTGTTCGCGCTCCTCAGGGCATTGTCCTCGGCCATGGTGACCTTCTTGTTCGTGTCATCCTGAGTTTTTCAGAAAAAGTCAGTTTCGCACACATTTTCGTTCATAAGTTCGTGAAGACTTACATTTCCCCGTAACTCTTCCTTACGTTGCCCCGTAACTCTTCCTTACGTTGCCCTGTAACTCTTCCTTACGTTGCCCCGTAACTCTTCCTTACGTTGCCCCGTAACTCTTCCTTACGTTGCCCCGTAACTCTTCCTTACGTTGCCCCGTAACTCTTCCTTACGTTGCCCCGTAACTCTTCCTTACGTTGCCCCGTAACTCTTCCTTACGTTGCCCCGTAACTCTTCCTTACGTTGCCCCGTAACTCTTCCTTACGTTGCCCCGTAACTCTTCCTTACGTTGCCCCGTAACTCTTCCTTACGTTGCCCCGTAACTCTTCCTTACGTTGCCCCGTAACTCTTCCTTACGTTGCCCCGTAACTCTTCCTTACGTTGCCCCGTAACTCTTCCTTACGTTGCCCCGTAACTCTTCCTTACGTTGCCCCGTAACTCTTCCTTACGTCTTCCTTACGTTGCCCCGTAACTCTTCCTTACGTTGCCCCGTAACTCTTCCTTACGTTGCCCCGTAACTCTTCCTTACGTTGCCCCGTAACTCTTCCTTACGTTGCCCCGTAACTCTTCCTTACGTTGCCCTGTAACTCTTCCTTACGTTGCCCCGTAACTCTTCCTTACGTTGCCCCGTAACTCTTCCTTACGTTGCCCCGTAACTCTTCCTTACGTTGCCCCGTAACTCTTTCTTGTGAAGCACGTCTTGGTTGCATTTCTTTGTCCGCTGAATCAAAATCTCCCAAATGGAAGTCATCGATAGGGTTTTTTCTTGACGGCAACGGTGGGTCGCCTTCCATGTCAATCTGAAAGATTTTCTTGGATTCATCTTACAGGACCACCTGTGTATGATGGTAGATCAGATGTAAACCAAATGAAGGGCTAGAAGAGTCCGCACCAGACTGTTAACTCTAAGAGACTCAGCTGTCTCTAATGACTGACACATCCTGTCGTCCAATAGCCCCATCGAACGGAAGTGCTTGTCCTTTCAGACCATCTATTGTTACCTCTTCAACCTTGAGCAGCACCGTTCTCTTACCCACATCGGCCGCTTGAACTTGTCCTCCATGATCTTCATCATTCTCACTATCATTTAGAGAATCACAATCTTGTGCTCACATGGTATTAATCTCATATTGATGAGCTCAGCTTCCTTGCTGAGCAAGAGAGTTAGAAGTCCTCCGACACCCTCCTCAGCCTCCAGGCATAGGATTGGGTGCATTCTGTGTCAGCTAGTAGATCACACTGATCTATACCAGTCAAGACTAAACAGTTTCTAACACAGATTGCATGAATAGTACGCGATGCGCATCAAAATACCACAAGTAGGAGGTTAAGAATGTACTTCAGGAAAGTATGGAGGTCAGGACACAAAGTTTACTGTCATGCTAACACCGAATCGATGAACTCAAGTCAGGAAAGCTCACTTCCCTGTTTGCACCATGCAACTCAAGACCTGTCCGCGGATCACTTTCTCTATTCGAGCGATCAACTGTTGAACGTCCATGAATGTGAAAATACCTGGAGTAATTTTCAGAATGAATCAACTATCTCAAACTTGTCTGTGTTCTCAGTCAATGAACAATTAGAACAAAGGATTAGAGGCGCCTCTAGACACGCTACCCGCAAGCATGTAGCACAAATTGTGCATCCATGGGGCATTGAGACTTAGTGATGAGTTGATTCCAGTAAAGGCGATGGCGAGTGGTAAATGGCATATATGAACTTCCATTGGAGCCAGTTGATGTTGCATAGCGCTACATCAGGTTTGAGACTGCTCACTCCACACTTTCAGCACTGTGTGAAAAGGCACTGCAACGTTTCAGTCACCTCAAAACTTTTGACGGTTTATTCCTTCAACAAGATGCCCCTAGTCATCTTACTTGAAAGCCTTCAGCCTCCTTGCCACCGCCCCCACTGCCAGGCTCCACTGCCGTCACGACAACCATCGCCTCATTACTGAACCTGGCGCTGATCCCTTACAAACGAGAGGTCATCGCATACCCCAGCAACGACAGCAGCAGAGGCATGTACAGCGACGAAAGGGTCCTGGGCGCTGCTGAATAGCAGTTGGTGTCACTACATGCTCCACTGGATTTTTCAGAAGCGATGATGGAGTCAAGCTTGGCTGAGTCGGCGGTGCAGATGTTTGAGATGGTAGACCTCGTCGTGCTGCAGCACTCTACCAGTGTAGTGGTGGTCGTTGCGCACTGGGAGTCTGAAGTACAGCCTGAGCTAAACTGAAGGGAAGAGCACAGGTCCGAGCACTTGGTGGCCTTGGCGGTCTGTACGAATACCACATTCATTGATGGCTTCAATCGATAGGACACTCACCAGGCCGTAGTCAACACACCTAGCAGAGATGAAGGCGGCACAAGCAGCGTCGGTTGAAGGTACGAGGGCCGCACCGAGAGACATCATGGCAATCTGGGTGTCTGCATCACTTTTCGAGAGACAGCTGCCGTACTGGAGAGTTTTTTTCCCGCAGTTTCCTGCCAGAAGATGAGTCGAAAGAGTGACAGGGAGAAAGACATCGGAGAGCCGGACAGTGCAAGGTATACGAATCAACTTGAAGTGAGAAAGAAAGGCTCGCCTCACCTACGGTAACATCGCCCGTCTTGGCAATGTTGCAAGTGACGGCTGATGCTGTCGCGATCGCCGTCAGGACGAGGAAAGCTCGCATGGTCATGCTTGGTCGTTCCTCGGCCCCTCCGCCACGTTTATTTAAAACCAACCTGCAGCCTTTAGGTAACCGGGTACTATTACAGTACCCACCCCTAACCTCTAACCAGTCAACTTTGCAAGAGATGCCAGCTATATCAGTTCCTAGGACCAATACCAGAGGCAGATAGGAACTCGTAATACGACCGTGCACCCACCCCTAAAGGACTCCCGGAACCGTGCCATGGCTCCACCCCACCTAGCAACAATATCCGTATAATAAAAAAATAGTCATTCTAGCCGATATATAACGATATTACCTTGTACTGCTTGCGCTTCTACCTCGACTATTATCTTTTATTTCGCCGTACTATCAGGAGCTCTACAGTACTGCTCGTTGTAAAAACTATACTCTGCAATGTTAAAGGGTCTCAATTCGTGATACTAACTTGCGGTCGATTTTTCAGGAACCGTGGTACTAGTTTTACTCAAATGCATTGAAATCATCTGGCCCAATGACAAAAGTACATTTCCAGAGGTCGAGGTGGTGAACCGTTGCGGGCAAAACGAGTACCCTTAATTTGATACAATAAAACAAGGGGTGGGTGGAGACTAGAGTTGGTCAAATTGATCGTTTGAATTCAAATCGAAAGGGAGCCTAGGTTGTATGATAGCATCTGCTGCTGCGGCCGTTGGGACGACGACACGTAGCCAGGGCGCCTGTAGCTGCCGCCTTGGTAGCCCCACCTGTCACTCCCTCCTCTCTGCCCATAGGAGCTCCTGCCGCTGCGTGGAGTGAGATAGCTTGCAGCACGTGTGGCCATATCATAACATTCACCTGCTCCTGCCGTACCTGTCCCTCCCCGAGTATCCTGAGCGGCTCATGGCTGGACGACCAGAGATGGTCAGGGAGGAAGACGTAAGGGTTGTCAGGGTGCTCACATGAACGTCGTCTCAGGGAGGCGAGATGAGTCAAGAAGTCAGGGATGGGTTGGTTCGCCTTGGTCAGAATCTGCGAAGCAGCAGAGTTAAGGTCACCTCTTCACTCGAACTGATGTCTCTTTCTCGTTCTCCCTCCTCCTTTCACCACCATCACCACCATCTCCTTCCCTCTCGTTCTTTCCCTTCCTCCATTCTCCTCCTCCTCCTCCTCCTCGCTCCAGCCCCCCCTCCGCCCCACCCTCTCCCTACCACCCAAAAAATTTCCCTGCCCAATGCCCCTCGTCCTCCTTGCTCTACCTTGATCAGATCGCCTGCGCTTCCTGCGTCTCCATCGCAGATGAAGGTGTGAGCATGTCCCTTGGCGCCAGCACGGCCTGTCCGCCCGACACGATGCACCCAATCCTCCGCCTAGAGGCTAAGGGTGAGGGGCACACATAGAGGAAGGATGCGGGAGTGAGGAGCCTACCCCGCTGGAGGGAAGATCGAAGTTGATGACGTGCGACACGCCTTTGATGTCCAGGCCCCTAGCAGCCACGTCTGTCGCTACGATAACCTGCTCGACATGCTTCAGCGTGAAGGTTCTTGTACACACGAGGGCAAGGAGAGGGCCAAAGGAAGCAAGGGTAGAAGAGGAAGGTATCTCAAGATGATCGGAGAAGATCCTGGTACCTGCGCTCTCCCAGACGTGAAGTCGTTGAGTGCTCGGAGCCTTTCATCCTGCAACTTGCCTCCATGGATACTCTAGAGGAATGATCAGTGCATGCTGTGAATGGTCTTCGATTCGCTCACTCGCGCTCTCCATGACTGTTGTCTCAGCTTTCTCGAGATAAGGTCGCAGTTCCGCTTTGTGTTGACAAAAATCTTGCGGAAGGAAAGTCAAAGTGACGCAGAAGCACAAGAATTCACTCACAATTATGCTCGCATCACATGCAGATGGATCAGGAGAGATGGTTTGAAGCACTTCAAGCAGCTTCGCCTCCTGCAGTCAAGCCAGTGAACGACATCCCCCGTCGCTTCTCCGGCTCACAAACCTTGGTATGCGATCTCACGTGATGAAATTCTTGCACTACATCGCTGTTGACGATCAGCTCATCAACTCCGCCAACATTGACTTGAACGGCCTCATGCAAGTACGTCGCCGCAAGCTTCTGCACTCCTCTGCGACATCAGTCAGCCAACACATGGAGGAATCCAACCTCAATAACTACTTGGGCCAAGTAGCAGTAAAGGTGATTGTCTGTCTGACTGGATGTGCTGGAAGCGTCTTGAAAATCTTCTTGATCTGTGGCTCGAATCCCATATCCAACATCCTGTCTGCCTCGTCGAGCACAACATACTCCACTTGGTCCAGCCGAGCTGTGCCGCAGTCTATGAAGTCATTGAGCCTTCCTGGAGTTGCGATGATGAGGTGAGCTCCCATGTTCAGTTGTCTCATCTGCATGCCCCTTCCAACACCTCCAAAGATCGCAACGTTTACAATACCGCATGACTTTCCAAACTTCTGCGCCTCTGCTGTGATCTGTACAACTAGCTCCCTAGTCGGTGCCAGCACGAGGGCATGAGAGCGTACTGGCGAGTTGGAATACTTGGACGACCGGGACCCTCGACGCTTCATCTCAAGATCAGGGCACAACTTGAGAATCTTCATGAAGGCGCAGAACAGATACCCACACGTCTTCCCACTCCCTGTCTTCGCTACCGCCACCAGGTCTCTTTTGGCCGCCAGGTACGGCCAGCATTGAGCTTGGATGGGAGAAGGATGTTGAAACCCAGCAGCTCTCACCTCAGTCAGGATCTCCTGAGCGAAAGGCGCCTTGGCGAAAGTTTGGATGGGATCCAACGGTATCGAGCTCTTGGGATCCTTGACCTGGATCTCGAACTTGGACCTGTACTCCGAGGGACTCACTCCATCCATCCCCAGCGAGGGAGGCTTGTCGTCATCCTGTGCTCCTCGTGACTCCAAGTACATCCGCTTCCCTCTCGTATCCAGTGTCCGCTGCGTTATGCTCTTGATCATGGTGCTGTCGATGGCAGACTGCTCGTGCCCTCCTCGAAGTCTGATGTCGTCCGCATGCAACAACAACCCGGAGGAGAGTGTGCTACAGGTTATGCTCACACAGAAACACAAGACGAGGAAAGCAGCGTAGAGGAGGCGCTTCATATGCATGAGGTTGGCCCTTGCGAGCTTCAGAGTTTGCAGGGTTCTATGGGGCATATCTTTGCCCTTCCGTCTGTCTCCTTCGCTCAGTTTTTCCGGAGCATTTTCAAAATAAGAGGTCGAGGATCAGATTTGAATCTACAATAGGCAGTCAGAGATGATCGGCCAGGGGGCATTACAGCACAGTCAAACATTCCGCATCTACTAACTTTAACGGCTTCACTCAAGGCCGCATACATCATGTCTGCACAGCCCTCCCCGCAAAGGCACTCCTCTACATAGACTCCTCCCTGACCTTGCTATCTCGTCCGATTCTGCTATCTCTCTCGCCTCTTTCTCTCCTCCTTCCCCTTCCGTCTCCCCTGCCATCACTCTTCACGTGCCGCCATGGGACCCTAGCTAGGGTTTCGCCTTGGGGGCAGCACTACCCTCCTACCCCCAGCCTTACCCATAGCCCTCTCAATCTCCCGAACCCCTGCACCCTACCCTACCTTACTATTCATCCTTCTTCATACCACAAAGTACCCGTAGTTGCCTCAGTCTCAACTATCTCGTGGCTCTGAGGCGGACAGGGCTGCTGCCAAAGAGCCTAGCAAGCGCCTCCTGGCTACTTTGATGTGTGTACGATATCATGGCATGCCTTCATATGATCTTCACATAGACATACTCGTTGTTGTTGCAGGTTTGTCCTCCCAAACAGAGTGCTGACCGATCGTAGCCGGCGATGGCAGGGCGACGCTTCTTAAGGGCGTTCTCCTCCCTCCCTGTGCGCTGACCTTGTTCGGAACCTCGTAGGATCGCTTCATACCTGCAGGAAGTCACTTCTCCCGACCTCGCACTCGCTTCCCCTCCCCACCTCCCGCTGCTCAGGACCCGAACAGCTTCAGCGTAAGCGTCATCGACCTCGAGCGAGGCAAGGAGCCGTTCACTGTTCTTGAGGAACCTGAGGAGGGACGGAGGAGGAGACTCAGGGCTTCAAAGAAGGAGCATAGGTGACGTGGCAAGAAGACCTTGTGAGGATGGCGTCGTGCAGCCGGGTCTGGACCTCCTTCCTGTTGGCCTGCAGGAGGGCAAGAAGGTCTTGCTGCTCTACCTCCTGCTCACAGGGCACCCAACATCATCAAGGAGCCAGCAGCACGATTAGGATCCCAAGACTCAGCCTCTCTTCCCCCCGCTTCCCCCTCTCCTCGGCCATCTTCCCGCTTCCTCCGCTCCCGCTCTTCCTTCCACTCCTCTCACCATCGCCCTGAGCGAGGATGCTACATATCTACTGACCTCGAGGAGCGCTAGGCTGTGCAGGGACTTCACCATACCGTCGCTCTTCAGCTTCTCCATCAGCTGCCGACCGGCGCGTCAGGACCGTCAAAATCCAACGGGCGACCTCACCCGGTCGACCTCCGGGTCACGCGCCTCCCGCGTCTTGAGGAAATCTGCCACATACAAGGAGAAGCTGGTCCAGATTTCCTCCTCGGAGCTCCTGATCTACATCGCCTTTCAGCGGCCCACCCCCTTCCCC